CCCGTGATCGCTAATATGCTAGTTTTCTACTTTAATTATTCGAGTAAATATCCGATATTTAGATTTCTAAACACACAATATATATTTATATAACGCCGTGAATTGTGATTTGGCGAGGTTTACAATGTATCTAATTTTCAGAAGTCACTTTCAGTAATTTTGAATTGCCTAAAATGACAGTAAATGATAAACAGAAGGGGGAATTCAAAACTGTGCATATGAAGTGTATTAGTCTGCGTGATGTATTTTGAATTTTATTCGATTTCGAAGTGAGGGTTGAAGAGGAGGGACATATGTGTCGCTGTGGTATCCAGGGGGGTTACACTCTGAAAAAAAAACGATAATGATGACATAACAACAGATAATGTAACTGATAATAATACCAAACAAACTCGCAGACGAGGACGAGTTTGTTTATTTTTATAATCAATTACACGGTCCTGTGGTTCAATACAGACGTAGGTGAACATTCGACTGAAGCACGAGCAACTTATGAATGACTTACACTCAGGAAAGTAGTCCGTCGTCATCTGACCTCAGGTCATCACCATGGAGTAGCCAATCATGGGCCTGGAATTCGATCTCACACATATGTTTGATACCAGTTATCTCAAATGGGTTTCTCACCCACAGGTGTGTAAGAAATGCATTTATTATATCAACTAATGTATTTTATTATATAAAAATGTCTACTTCTGGGCATGTGGAACATAAGCTTTAGTACGACAGATGTATCTTATCCTTTACCATCTTACTACATAATTTACCTTGGGCACGCCAGAAACCTATGATTGTGGGTTCGAATCCCGGTTCGTCCCAATTATGTTTCTAGGTTTGTCAGCACCATACCCGTGCTCGTGGGTTTCACCGAAGTGGTAAACGTCTTAGACCTGCATCACTTCGGGATTTCCTCCCACATTAAGCTGACACCCCGCGATATAGCTGGAATAATGTTAAACGCGGCGTTAAACCCAACTCACTCACTCACATAATTTACATGAGACGTTTTATATTTAAATGCCACCACAATTGTTGCTTGTAAACTCAACACACTTGACAAATATTCTAAAACACATGATAGTAAACTATTAATGTACGTTGAATTGTTTTTTTGTTAATGCCAAAATAATGTTTTAGGATCGAGTGGAAGATATATTAACAGTAGCGCTTGGAGTTTATTCAACAGACCCGCGAAGACATCACTACTTTATCCCTTTTTACTGACGCGGTCAAAGCTCAAGTTTTACTTCTCCTGGCGGCCATTATGCAATGGTCATCTTATACAGAACCCAGCGCTCACGTCTGCTGGTCGTTTCATGTGGTACGACAGTTAGTAGAACACCCTCCCTCAAATGTATCCTCCATAATATAACCTACTCTCATTAATTAAATGCTGCTCTTTTCCAGCGTCACGACTATGAAGCTGAGACAAAGAGATCCACTCCATCAAATCGTAATTAGCGTGCACTAAACACAATGCCAAGCCAAACTTCAAAAACATGATCACTGGAAGTCGCACTAAAGACGTTTAATGTCAAATCACACAAACTTGTACTCTCTTGACACCATCGCAAAACATCATGTAGAAGCCAATGGTCGTATAAATAAGATGGATCTGATTGATCACAACAGTACTCATATTTTCCTACAAAATTACATCTAAAAAGGAGCCATATCATAATGTGTTTTAACATTTTCGTCAGGACATCAAACACTGCTCTCCTTATTACAACCTCAAATTTCAGCTTAATATGGGTCCTCCTTGGTCAAAAGTTGGTTGCCTACGAAATGCGTGTGTCACGTACAGGTTGCACACAAGTGGCGAAGGGGGTGAACACCGGCGTTCAACTGACAGACTTTATGTTGACTCAGGCCATATTTGGCCTCTGGCCATGTACAAAAGATACATTGAATGTTTTCTGTAGTTGACATAATTATATTACGATACATTATTGTTTGTACAGAATAAAATTCAGAACTTTGTCGAGGATAATTAATAAATATTTAACTTAATTGTTTTAATTAATTCACAGACACAACCCATTTCGGTAAATACTATCAAATGCTTTTTGATAATCTATGAATGCACAAAATAATTTACCTTTATATTTAAATATGTGTTCTGTACAAAATTTCAAAATAAGAACGCGTTGCCCGCGGGTGTCACACACGTGGTGGACGGGTTCCACACGAGTGAGCAACAGGATGCACACGCAGCGCGTCACGCGTTGCCCATGCGTGTACGGGGAATGAAGTTCAAGGCAGCAGCGTAAATTTGTGTCACTTTCACCTCTTCATCCTGTCATTTGGGTTAGAATAGGTCCCCAGTAGCCTTTCCCTGTCGCAAGAGGCGATGACAGTGGATTGGTTGGTCAACTTCTCAAGCTCGGACTCGATTATTTACAAATAAAGCTTGAATGTTACTGAAAGTGGCGTACATTCAAAAAGTAATGCTGGAGAATGATTAATCCCCAGTAACAGTCGAAACATTCCACAGAGCGTGAAAGGCACAATAATGATGAAAACTGCACGATTGGATGACTGAAAATAAGTGATGGCGCCAGGCATTCGAGAAAGGCATTCGCGAAAGGGGTAAACAGCAGCCTCTGACTTAATGTTCATTGAGAAACTAAACACCGGTGAATTAGGAATTCATTCTGAGGCCCTTGACTGAATAATTCTGAACATCGTCAGAGTGGAATCTCATTGAAGTCCTAAAAACAATACGTGTGACTTGTCGAGGTAATTTTCAAATTTGACGTATCAGTGACAAACATGATGTTCCCGCTTTGTTTTCATTTGAACAGGGGAGGTCGGGTAGCCTAGTGGTTAAAGCGTTCGCACGTCACGCCGAAGACCCGGGTTCGATTCCCGACATGGGTACAATGTGTGAAGCCCATTTCTTGTGTCCCCCGCCGTGATATTGCTGGAATATTGCTAAAAGCGGCGTATAACTATATTCACTTACTCACTCCATTTGAACAAATGACTTGCCTTTGCATGTGTTTGTGACGGGTGCTCCGGTGGGGCAGTATACAATCACCGTCTTGCGAACAACTGGTATCATCACTATTTGATAGTGATTCATAAACACAAGATATAGTAGAAATCGTACACAGCTTTGAGTAGATGATTCTTATGATCATTGAAATGTTTTGTTGCTTCTATTTACATTGCTCATTCTCATAGTGATTGATAAGTTCATTTCTCATTAACGATACATCACATTTTGAGACTTGAAAATATGACCAGACAGAAGATGTTTTGGTGCCGCCTTTCAATCAGGCCTCGACAAGGAAGTTTGTGATATAGGTGATATTTGGGATTTGTTATAATTTGCTGTCATGATTTCATTATATTTAAATCTATTTCCAATTCGTTATTATACATTTCACCATCGATTCCTTAGTTGGAAGAAATCTCATTTAGTTACAAAGATCGATACAGTTTTATTGTCAATGTTTTAAGAATTCAATCTATGGTGTATGGCCACCATTTGAATCATGAAATCCTGATACTGCCCTCCTATGGAATCTACCGTGCATTCTGAGGGATCTTCTATTCCACTTAGTTCTCATGACCAACAAGTCGTATGATGTCGGAGGCTCAGAGTTATCAATTTCGTCCAACAGTTGGGTTCAGATTTGCGTGATCTGGATGGCCACTGAAGAACAGGAACATTGTTCTGTGCGAGGTAACAGTTGTGAATCAAACTGTAGTAGGGTATTGATATGTTGACAATCGACCCTATGAATGATGTGTAGCCAAATGGTGTCTGGTCCAGATTCGATTATGTACAGACCGCCGTCATATAGCTGGAATACTGCTGAGCGCAGCGTTAAACAACCAACCAACCGGGAAAATATATTGCTTATACTCTTGAAAACAACAACTGAAATGTCATCCGCAATTGGATCTCCTAACACAACTTGTAGGTTCTAGTGCACCAAAACAAGTGTGTCTAATTATTAGGGTCTTGTATCGCTCAGCTGCATTAAACCTATTGCATAACAACTCCACTGAAAAGAGTTTAAAAACACCTGAAGTACTTACAATAATTTGTTGTAGGTTCTTATATTATTTCCAGTAATTATAACTGTGTTTGAAAAAAACCACAGATCTAGACAGGCTTTCAAGCTCTTTGCAGTGACAAATATAGTCATTCAAATAAAGTAATTCAAACACCTGCAAGATAAAAGGCAACATGAGGGCTTTCATTTCATAGGCGTAGCTGGTGTGAAGACTGACAATGAGTTTATGAATGAGTTTCTCACATAATATAACCCTAAGCTATTTAGGCGCATTCAATCTTAAATTAGCATTTTAACGTATGCCATTCTCCATGATGAAAGAGCGCAACTCTAAAGTCTGTTTTAAAGTTACAAGCCGAAAACGTTTATTTTATTCATTTAATTAGATCTACAGGTCATGTCATGTCCGTGCATAAACTGGAATTAAAATTAGTATACATGTACACTGGGATTACTAATCGACATGGTACATGTAGTACTATTGGGTGTAAATGCAACAAGGAAAGTATGTGTGTCTATTAAAAACCGACTCTTCAATATCTAGTATCGTTTAACAAATACCAAACATGCTACAGAGCATTATCATCGTTGCTAACGTATAACAAAATCTGTAAATGCACAGTTAATATTTAAATACTTGATGCTTTCCTCTGTAATACTGCAATAGAAATCATGATGTTTTCGTCCAGCCAATTTGTTAAATTCCCTGGCTGGAAAACGTACTACCCTAATGTTTAATAATAACGCCTAATTTCCGCTTCCAGACAAAATTACACATCATATTTTTATATTAGTTTTGAAACATGTATAAACAGCGAAATATCCTCGGTTTTATGAGTCTATTTAAACATAAGTGACCTCTTTGTCTTAATTATACCAGGTGACAGAACAACCAATCACAACCACAAGGTGTCACGTTAACTATGCATACATGACAGCCATGACCTCGCACATCACTGGGAACTAACATGTTGTCTGCATACACTCACGTCTGGGTCATAAAAACACTGCTTCTTAAGACATTCACCACATGAGTTGTGTGAGGAAAATACTTTCAAAATGGCGAACGTCCAGAGACTTGGTACATCTGACTATGTTGTTCTTGGCTCCGTGCTGTCAATCTCGCTTGGAATTGGTGTATTTTTCGCTATCCGTGGTAACAACACTAAAGCTGGATATTTCCAGGGAAATAGACGAATGGGGATGTTTTCTGTGGCTGTTTCAATGTTTGTGACTCTGCAGTCGGCTATCAGCCTGCTAGGGGTGCCTGCCGATGTGTACACGTATGGGACAATGATACTTTACTTGTACATCGGTGTTGCCCTCACCTACGTATCTGGTCTGTTCACAAGCCTTCCACTACTGTACCCTCTCAGGATCACAAGTGTCTATGAGGTATGAAAATGGATGTGACCTTTTGTGTTCCATTTCCATGCTAATATGAACTTCACAGGATGAAAAGCGGGGCAGACAGTGGATTTGGTAGCTGGTGGTCCATAGCCCATATTAAATTGATATATAGGATAGGTTAGAAGGTCTTAGTATTGGGAATAGTTATTGTACTCTTAAATATATGCTGCTTTGCAAATAGTTTTACAGCATTTTACATTTAAGACATTTAATTTCGCTCGTTACTTTTTGGCTGAGATACCCGATGTGACGTTAAAGCTGCACCTTGTCATTGAGGGAGTGGCCTAGGCTGTGTGTGACTGTGGGGTCCCATAAAAAAATGGTAAGATGATAGATCACTGGGAGGAGCTTATGCACACTCGATGACCCCTGACGTCACAGGGCATTGTTTCGCCGGTGTGACTTGCAACAAAATATTACAAATTACGTCATAGGGTATTGTCACCTGTTTGAAAAGTTTGTGGTACTGTATTCTAGAGGTAGGCCAAAAAACAGGCTCTCGGACAGAGAAGCTGGGCTAAATTTAGAAAAACACATGGGACTGACAAAATATACTCTGCTTCTTCACTCACCCAGTGTGTAGCAAACTGACTGGGCAGAGTGATACAGACACACACAAACATACAGAAAGCACCCCCCATACACTAACTAGACATTGCCTCTTCATGTAAGGTAAATACACGTACCGGTACTAGGTAAGTGAGTAATTATTGCTTATAGCTAAAATGGATAGAATTATCATTAAACCGCCCGCACGTTATCAAAAATGAGCGGGCCACTGTAACTTGATAATGCCCTCATATTGCTTGACGACGGGCCATTATCAAGCCCGTTGTTAGGTGACGTCATAGGGTAGAGAAAATGACGTCACGTATTAAAGTGACGTCATCTGGTTTGTTCTATGACGTTTTCATATTTGTAAAATGTGGTCAGTGACATTCGTGTTGATTGCAGTAAGTGTTTCAAAACCGATGTTGTTGTTTCTTTTTATTTGATAACAAATTCCATCCATTTTAGCTATAATAACGGCAACGCTCTTTTTCAGGGCATTGTCATTTGCAGAAGCCCTCGGTCTTTTCAACTGCCCTCCTTCGTCGGGCATTTAATAGAAAACCTCGGGCTTCTGCAAATGATAATGCCCTGAAAAAGAGCGTTACCCTTCTATTAACGCCGCACCAGCAATTTTGCAACTATTCTCGGCTACCGGTACTTGGAGCATTAATGTTGCGTTAGGAAGTTTCACCTTTACAACACCAGCTTTAAAAATCTCTCAAATAAGAGCTGCATACAAACACCCGATGTACACAATCAAACCGTGTTTTCAAATCCATATATCCTAATGATATTATCAGTGATTATCTGCCAGGCTGGTATGACCATCATAGACGAAAACATTGTCAATGATGCGAAAAGATTATCTTGCAACAAACACATTTCTAAGCATTTGTAACTGAAATTGCCATGACATTTGTGAAGTCACATGATCTTGTGCGTTATTTATTGTGGTGCTGCAGCTTTAATAGTTTGACTCACTCACTCACTCACTCCATGATAATGTGTCATAATAATGTGGTGAGTGGTATTCTAAGCATGATACATGTTTAAGATAGTTACGTCAGATAAGATTTGGACAAGGCAATGCGTTCAATTAGTCCCGACTCCAAAATTACTATTAAACAAAATGTGCCACACATATATACTTACAGAATGGATGCATTTAATCTGCACTAAATACTTAGTTGATTATAGCATATTTCAAATGTGTTTATCTTCATTTTCTAAATTTGCAAGGGTTTAAAATATGAGTATTTCCGTTGACAGGAAGCATTTTTATTTTTTCATAATTTTCAATGTATACATGCCTTGTAAGTTATGTATTATTTCGAATATCAAGGATAAGTATCATCAGTTTTACAAAAAAAATGTTTCCCCAATGTGAAATGGGGAAAGGTCTGGGCTTATTGCTGGCTATGGTATTCTGTGAATGTTGTGCTGCTTGAGGCGAGCTTGAACACATGGTGAGCTCATGGTGAGCATGGGCATTGTCGTCCTGAAACCAAACGTCAACCCACACGCCTTGCATACGGGACAACAGAGTGTGTCAGTATGTTGTGCCAATATTACTGTCCAGTGCCATCCCAGTGCGACACCACACCGTAACCGAGCCACCCCCAAACATGTCATGAGGCTCAGGCTGACATTAGCTTGACCTCCGTCGCCAGACACGACCACGCATATAAAGGAAGTCCAAAGGTGAATCGGAGACGATTACCCCAGGCATTTTGGTATTTGGAAGGGGCTGCACAACACGTGGCTGTCGAGCATGGAGCTGCATGTAGACGAGTTCTAATCGTCTGACCCGTAACTCGTACAATAAATAGCTTTACAGCAACTTGATTCGCTGTTTGAGCTTAATTTCGTAGAGTCTGGTTTCGGATCAGTCGATCCTGTTCTTTAGTCGTTGACCTAGGACGCCATGAACGGAGTCGATCGTCAATATCTTGGGATTGTTTGTACCTGTTCCACTGCATGCTGATCAGACTAAAACATTGAACGTATTGGCCACTGTATCTTCCAGCATGCCAATAGCCCGAAGGCTCCGCGCCTTGTAGACGCCGCGTCGCTAGTTCATACACAAACGATGAATGAAGTCACGTAAATCACAACTGTATGATAAGCAGGATCAGTAGGATTGACAGAAATAATGGTCCACAGAGTTTAAACAACCTTCCTTGAAAGCGTGAAAGTCAGGTATGACTCGTTACGGACGTGTGTGGCATTACGGCGTGAAGCATGTGTGTTACGTCTCATAGACATAAACGTTCTTGCATGGGATGTTTGTCGCCAACAACTCTCATTCTAACATGATATTGATATCGATCACCCCCATATGAACTGTAAAACGAAATCTATATTTCCTCTAATACACGCTGGGTCCTAATACCAGCCATGTCTCTAATACACGCCGAGTCAAGGGCTCTTGCGAAATTAATAGACGGCATAGCGTCAAATAGAGGAAATACGGTAGTTTCATATCGGGTGTTTTGGGCCTTCTAGGCCGTAACCCTGAATGCTTCGGTGATGACATTAAAAGATTTAACGAAGGCATATCTTTGGCATACAAATGAAATGTTCATGAAACTGTTAGGGAAATGTTCTATGGTGATCAGAATCGGAACAATTTAAGCTATTTCCTCATTGAAACAACCGATAATGAAAGTAAAATATAACATTATACAAATTGTTTGAAACAACTTTATTCATGACAACATGTTGTTTACAAACCTTTTTATGATCGTTATTCGTTGCCATCTCCGTCAACCACCACCGTTAGAATTTGGCAAGAGGGGATTTAAAAGTCTATCAGAAAACACTCCCCTTTGAAAGTCCACGAAAACAATGTCCCAAATGAAGTGACAGCTTATCAAACTTGAAATTAATTTCAGAACACGCACAATTAAGAAAATCATACACGACCCACTATTTCTGGGCCACAAATGTCTAAGTTCTGTCACTGTCTGGCTTTTGATCCGTGAAATCTTGAAATTGACAGGTCACACCATGCAGATACTGAGATAGTCCCTACCACGTGTTAAAATGTCCGGCTCGTCTGCAGGCTAAAAAGCGGCTGTTCAGTCATACTCAGTTCCATTGGTAATCATATTGTACAAGCGGGCTCGATCATTCCCAGTCAATCTACAGGTTAATATTGAACCACATCATAGATCGGGGTTGTCATCTAGCTTCTTTTAACTAGCAACGGAGAATGTAAACACAAGAATGTCAGCCATTGGCAGCTGCGAGGTGTGAGTTACCGTGATGTAGGTCAAGTTCTGCCACATCAAAGTTCGGGGTGGAGAGGCATATATTTTGATGTTATTATTGTTTACTGGGGGTAATTGCTAACTAACTAATAACACTTACACATGTTAAATGTATAATAGAATGATAATTCAAAACGTTTGTTGTAGAAATATATTTGTTAAGCATTTTAAAACCTTTTTCTACAACCTGTCACCCCTTAAATAGGAATGATGACGTGTTCCATTTCCAAGAACTTACCTCTCTCGCAAAACTCCAAAAATTGACAGCCAGTCCACACTGTACAACAGGTTGGTAGAAATTAAAACATTTGTCTTTTGACTAAGTTTGGAGTGTTATTTATCAACTTCTTTTGAAAAACTATGTGTTTTGAACAATTATTTTGAACTACTCACGACTATGGTGTTTTTAATCTTGAACTTCAGTAATAATTGTTACAGATATAACTACCTGTGACCACTTTTCGGAATGTTCTAAGATTGCGGACCTGTGTGCCTGTGTTGTTACGCGTTTCAAGAGAGCACCGTTTTCTATGTGTTGTTGCCGTCATGGTAGAATAGAGATAAACCTACTGTGTTTTGAAAATTGATGTAGTCCCACTGTAGAGTACATTGTAGATACCTCTTTATTTTAAGTTTGAACCGAGTGCTTTAGCTCAAGGTTCCACATTATAATAAAGAGGTATCTACTCTACAGTGGGACTACATCAAATTTCAAAACACAGTAGGTGTATCCCCTAATAGTTCTAACACTTGGTAAAAGAAATATATATTTCATCACCCCTACTGTTTTCAGAGTATATATACTTAGCAACAAAAGTTCCTGTGACACCAATATTTTAGTGTAACTTTCAAACAAGTAAAGTTTGGTTTTCAGTATTGTAGTGCATGCATGGCATCAAGTCACAAAAACGCAACTGCTTCAGAAAAGTATGCATTCCATGCAACCGTTGACATTTATGCAAGCACCATGCATTTCACTACCCAAGAATGGGTATAAAAACATGTGCATTAACGGGATTCCATATGCATTGTTTAGCGTCGTGCTGACAACAACCACTCAGAAAAACAAAAAAATTACGCAATTTTTCAACATTACGAAATGCCACGCCTGTCCGAAAATGAGCGACTGCGAGCCATTGGTATGCTTGAAGCAGGATCGAG